GTTCTCCCTTTGTGGGTTCTCTCCGGGTTCTCAGGCTTCTTCCCACCATCCAAAAACCTGCATGTTAGGCTGATTGGACATTCCAAAATTGCCCTTAGGAGTGAGTGTGAGTGTGTAAGGTTGTTTGTCCTTGTGTGTCTCTGTGTGGCCCTGTGATGGACTGAGGGACCGTCCAGAGTGTACCCCGCCTCTCGCGCATTGACCACTGGGATAGGCTCCAGTTCCCCCCGCAACCCCATCAGGGAATAAGCGGCAACGAGAATGGATGGATGGATGGACAGATGGATGGATGGATGGATGGATGGATGGATGGATGGATGGATGGATGGATGGATAATACAATGAACAAAACCCCTGAAACTCAAACAGGGAACAGAATGCAGACAGGGACTGAAGGACTTCTATAGAACCTAAAATACACAAAAACAAATAGAAACACATCAAAGGAACACAATAAATTAAGATAATAAGGTAACCGTTACAGGATAAAGGAACAAAAACAAAAACACAAACTCGTGACGAACAGCCTTAATTAACCTTTACTCTTGGTGTTGTAAATAAGTGGATCAACACACAACATAAATTTGTAGAACCATCTTATCCTGCTATGACATCATTTGTCAGAATCAACGATCCATCAAACAACTAAAATAGTAATACTGACACAATGGGCAGTGTGGACCCCAGAATTAGCTCTTCAAAGCAATTTCTCAACTGAGACCAAAGAAACGTTACTGGCACGTCCATAGGTAAAAAACACTGAGAGATTACATTGTGAAAAATGTATTTCCCTCCTCTACCAAGGATACTGAAGAAAAATTCTAAACAAGCTGTTTATATTAATGATCAGGTCAAATTCCCCTCAACTGTCCATATAATAAAGGAACAGCTTTTTTTTTAAAAACATTTGCATGCTCATGGGCTTCTTATATTTTGAAATGGCCACTATGACCCGCATTCAAAAAAAAAAGTAGAACGTAAAACACAGAATAGACGAAGACTAGAATGCCACCTGAGAGACAGAAATAATAATAATAACAATAGTGACATTAATAAGAAGAAGAAGAATAATAGAATGGGGTGTGGCGGTGTGGTGGTTAGCACCATCGCCTCCCAGCAAGAGGGTTCTGGGTTTGAGTCCCGGGGGACCCAGGAACTTTTTGTGTGGACTTTGCATGTTCTCCCTTTGTGGGTTCTCTCTGGGTTCTCCGGCTTCTTCCCACAGTCCAAAAACCTGCATGTTAGGTTGATTGGAGAAATTGGAAATTGCCCTTAGGAGTGAATGTGAGTGTGAGTGGTTGTTGGTCCTTGTGTGTCTCTGTGTGGCCCTGTGATGGACTGGTGGACTGTCCAGGGCCTCTCACGTATGGGATAGACTCCAGTTCCCCCCGCGACCCCATCAGGGAATAAGCGGCAACGAGAATAGATGGATGGATGGACTGATGGATGGATGGATGGATGGATGGATGGATGGATGGATGGATGGAT